AATAATTTTAATCTTGATTTTGACATACAGGCAAAATCATTGATCCTCCTCCCTTCCAGAGGGGCAGCTTAGTTCCCACCCTGTGAATATGACCTATACTTAATGGTTCACTTCTAACTGATAGAACAGTGAGGATGGAATATTTTGTGACTCTGGGTGTAGGACATAAAACTCACTGTGGTTTCCACCTTGGTTCTCCCTCTCTCTTGGATCACATGCTCTGGGGAAGCCAGCTGCTGTGTCACAAGCAGCCCTGTGGAAAAGTCCATGTGCCAGGAACTGAGGCCTCCTGGGACCAGCCAACAAGGAGGTGAGGTTTCTTCAACAGCCATGTGAATGAACCACATTCCATGGACTCTCCAGCCACACTCAGATGACACAGCCCTGGCTGACAACTGGACTCTAACTTTGGGAGAGGCCCTGAGCTAGAAGATCTCAGGGAAAACGTTCCTGGAATCCTGAGTTTCAGTAACTATGGGAAATAATAAATATTTGTTTTCAGAGGAGGCTATGTTTTGGGAAATTTGTTACACAGCGGTAGACAACTACCACAACTTCCAAAGAGAGAACGAATTATTTTTTTTATTTCAGATTAATATGAGGGTATAAACCATTAGGTTACAATGCTTGCATTTGTTAGGTAAGTTCCCTGTTGTAGTTGTGCCCCTCACCCAGGAAGTGTGCCATATACCCTTCCATTGTGCCCACTGAGGGCCCACCAATCCCCCACCCTCCTCCCTTATATGCCCTTGCTCTTCCCTTCTCCCCAACTTGAATTAAATTAAGTTTCTCTCCTGTAAAGGTATGTATTATTTCATCTACTAATTCATATTATTCACTTCATATTAGTATTGAACAAACTAAATACTTGCTTTTCCATTCTTGTGATACTTTAATAAAGATTATTATTTCTAGCCATGCACAGTGACTCATACCTGTAATCCTAGCACATTGGGAGACTAAAATGGGTGGACTGCTCAAGCTCAGGAGTTTGAGACTAGCCTGAATAAGAGCAAGACCCTATCTCTACTAATAATAGAAAAAACAAGCTGGGAGTCGTGGCAAGCACCTGTATTCCCAGCTACTCGAGAGGCTGAGATAAAAGGATCACTTGGGCCCAAAAGTTTGAGGTTGCTGTGAGCTATGATGTCATGATACTCTACCCAGTGTGACAGAATGAGACTATGTCTCAAAAAAAAAAATTATTTCTAACTCTATCCATGTTTACATAAGATATAATGCCTCTATCTTTTTATGACTAAATAGTATGCCATGATATACATATACCACAGTTTATTAATCCATTCATGGGTTAACAGGCATATAGGTTGATTCTATGTATTGGCAATTGTGAATTGAGCTATGATAAACAATCTTGTGCAAATGTCCTTATGATAAACTTATTTTTTCCCCTCTGGTTAGATACCTAGTAATGGGATTGCAGGATCAAATGGAAGGTCTATTTTCAGTTCTTTAAGATTCTCCATACCTCTTTACAAAGAGGTTATATTAGTTTGAAGTCTCACAACAGTGTAAGAGTGTTTCCTTTTCTCTACGTCCACACCTGCATCTGCAGCTTTGGGACTTTATGATGGGGTGGGGGGGGGGGTTTGTTTGTTTGTTTGCAGTTTTGGCCAGGGCCGGGTTTGAACCCACCACCTCAGGTATATGGGGCCAGTTCCCTACTCCTTGAGCCACAGGCACCACCCTATGATGTGGGTATTTTCACTATTCTCACTAAGGTGAGATGATATCTCCAGACGGTTTTGATTTACTTTTCTCTGATCTTTGGGGCAATGAGCATTTTTCATGTGTTTAGTGGCCATTCGTCTCCCAAGAATAAGTTATTATACCTCAATTTTCATTTGATCTACATTAATTGTAAGATATTAAACATGTCATTTAGTTTTAGGATGTAAGAAGAATTTCCATGGCTAAAAAGGATGCATTTTATTACCATTCACAACCAACTATTCATTTGAAATTCTGTTTCCAACTGTGACCCATTAAACACAATGAGAAGACCCAGGCCATGCTAGGCTGATTCTATGATATCCCCCAATAACCACCCCCTGGTTATTCACCTTCCCTCAGGTTCAATTAACACTAATGTAGATATTGCTATGAAAGAATTTGCAGATATAATTAAAGTCCCAAATCAGTTGACTTTAAGATGGTGATTATCCCTGAATGAACTGTCCTAATCAGATGAGTTCTTAAAACAGTGGGTTTGTCCTGAGCACCAGATTCACAGGGAGAAAGGGAATTAGTGTGAATCTTTGGGCTTTGAAAGAGGACAGTTCCTGTGGCAAAGAATGCTGGTGGTAGCCCTCCTTCCTCTTGACCCTAACAGCTTGTAATCAAACAGGGATGGACCACAGTCCTACAACTGCCAGAAACTTAATTCTGCCCATGGGCTCCATGTAAGTTTAGGGAGGACCCAAACCTCAAGGTGAGGGCACAGCTTTGTGAAACCCTGAACAGAGAACCATGCCTGGATTTCTGACTAAGGAGCAGTAACAAATAAATGGCCCTTGTTTAAAGACAATAATTTGTGGGAATTTAGTATGTAAAAATAGAAAATTAATATCAAGCTCAATAAATAGGCACATAACATTTTTTTAACTGGAATGAATTTATGAACTAATATGCAATTACTTGCATGAAAGAAAATATTTCCTAACTCTTTTAGTATGTTTAAGTGTACGATTTTTAGGTGATTCAATTTTACTTCAATCAAATTCCTTCATTCAATAATAATTAAATTAGTCCTATTATGTACTAAGTATGCTTTTCCATGCTGGGGATACAGTTTTGACCCAACAAGCCCAAAGCCCCTGTGCTCATGTGCCTTACCTTCCAGAGGCTTTGTAGGAATGAGATCAACCCATTGGAGCATTGTAACTAAAGAAATGACAAAAACTGACTTTCACTAGAAGACTGGTGACCACCGTGAAGTAGAAAAGACCTGGGCAGCAGGTGAAGGGACAAGGCTGGCACCACATAGCAGGAGTGAGAGGTGGTGGGACTAAGGGGAGAAGGGGTCTGAGGGATGAGAGGGACAGAGAGAAGGGCTGGAGAAGCAGGAGGTGAGGAACAGGAGCAGAGGGAAAGAGTTGTAAAGCAGCTGAATTCTGATTTACATACAGTGTTTTATAGATTTTTAATACAGAGCCTAGCAGGGTGCTCTTTGCATTTGGTAATTAACACATTTGCGGGGCTGCCTAAGAGTGAATTGCCTCCTAATGTGGCTCAGATTAAAAAAGTACTAAGCGTCCCCTCCAAAATATGCACACAGCTCAGATGCGAATAATTCATAAAAAGAGTCAATGCATGAGCACTGGAGAAGGGCATGTTGACTGTTGGAGCACATGCAGCTTTGAAGTGATTAAAGTCCTACAGCTCCTAGCTGAAATACACAGTAACAAATTCTTTGTGTGAGATGTACTGAATTCACAAGTACAGACTAAGGACTATGGAATGAAAATAATTTTAAACTACAACTCAAGAGTCCAAGACACATAGTCCAGAAAAGTAAAACTCAGGAGCTTTAAGTCTAACTGTAACGAGTTCCAACACATTGTTCTATCAAGGTGCCAACATCACATGTGTTACAGATTAAATTCCTGATCATTCAGGGGTTACCTAGATTGTGCTATCCACTCAAGTTAATAAGCGAGCAGGAAACTGGTCTCTATGAGAGTGTCTGTCAGGTGTGTTCAGACAGAACTTCTCCAGGTTTATAGAGAAAACCACCATCTCTACACCTCCAGTCCCAGGGCAAGTTCACTCTGGCATCAAGTTCCCTGGAGTGAGTTTTCTTGTAGAGGAGTCTAGGCTGGGAGGAAAGGATTAGGAAGCAAGGCGTCTAGTTCAATGAGAGGAATCTGTGAGGAAAAGAAAAGGAAGAAGCTGGACCCACTGTTGGGTGAAGTTCTTTCTCACGGAGAGAGAAGGATGGCTTGGCCAAGGGTGCAAGTTCGCTCCTAGAATTGTTTGAAAGCCAGAAACGAATACATACTCTTAGATGGTATGTAGCAAAATGTCTTTATTTTCCACTCCCTTTTATTGGGAGCCAGTCATGTATACCACATTGATCAATAATCCAAGTCCGGGTAAGTGAGATAACCCTCATAAGATTAGCCTAAAGAAAGAAAGTCCGGGAAAGTAAGACAACCATCTTAAGCTAGACTCACGCTGTTCCTCTCTGAAGACCTAAAAGAACTATACATTATCTGACTTCTATTTTTAAAGTTAACGGTTAGGATAAACAGAGAAGTAAAACCTTTTTCTTCTATATACTCAATTAAATTTCCGAGAAACAGGCTCCATGACTGTTTTCTTATGGTTTGGAGACCCTGCAGTTATGATGGAGTATTTTACTCAACATCATTATGATGGAGTTTTTCTTTTCACTCACACCAACCTTTGAGTCATGTCCTCTGCACAGATGGGCCGTTTCAACCCTTATCTGGCAGGCTGACTTGACTGCCCAGTCGGGGTTCCCTGTAGGAGGTTGTAAAGCCTGGCCTGCAGGGCCCCACTGTGTTTTCCCAGGTTGCTTAGGCCTCGACAAAAGCACATAATACTCGCAACTCTTTTTGCTCAGTTTCTGGAATTAAAAGAGCACATTTCATTTAATTTTATGGGGATTCAGCCTACAACCCAGACTGGGGATCAGACAGCTCCTGGACCAGGACTCAGGAGTTGGCGTGAGGAACAGCGGTCAGTGCAATAGCAGAGGGGTCAGGGGAAAGTCCCAGGTTCCGGGCATGGAATCTCAGGGATCTCAGTCTGAAGGCGGTAGCTGGGATGGGGAAGCTCAGGTCTCCCGGCAATTCACTTCTCCTCCCAGCGATTCACTTCTCCTCCCAGCTCCTGTCAGGTTCTTCTTCTTGGATACTGCTGACGCAGGCCCGGTTCTCATTCTCATTGCGTGTGGGTTTCCAGAAAAGCCAATCATAGTCACCGGAGTTCCCGGTCATTAAGTTTCCATCAAGCTCCCCGGACTCAGCGTCTCTTCAGATTCCGAGGATGGGGGTCGCGGCTCCCAGAATCCTCCTCCTGCTGCTCTTGGGGGCCCTAGTCCTGACCGAGACCTGTGCGGGTGTGTGCGGAGTGGGGAATGAAACGGCCTCTGAGGGGAGGGCGAGGGGACCACCTGGCTGGGAAGCAGGACCCGGGAAGCCGCACCAGGAGTGTGTCGCGCCGGGTCTCAGCCCCTCCTGCCCACAGGCTCCCACTCCCTGCGGTATTTCTCCACGGCTGTGTCCCGTCCCGGCCGGGGGGCGCCCCAGTACATCGCCGTTGGCTACGTGGACGACACACAGTTCGTGCGGTTCGACAGCGACACGGAGAATCCGAGGATGGAGGCGTGGGCGCCGTGGGCGGAGCGGGAGGGGCCGGAGTATTGGGACGAGGAGACACAGCGCGTCAAGGGCCACGCACAGGTTAACCGAGTGTGCGTGGACATCCTCCGCGGCCGCTACAACCAGAGCGAGGGCGGTGAGTGACCCCGGGCCGGATCGCAAGTCACGACCCCTCCTCACCCCCACAGACAACCCTGCGTCGCCTGTGTCTCCACGTCCGCGACTTCCCCCAAGGCTGCGAGACCCGTGAAACCTTCAACGCAGAAAGGGTGCACGGGGACCTTGACCCACTTTGGTTTTAAGTTTAGGGCGAAATCCCAGCAGGGTGGTCGGGGCTGGGAGAGAATGGTGGACGCGGCTGACCGCGGCGGGGCCGGGGCCAGGGTCTCACACTATACAGTGGATGTACGGCTGCGACGTGGGGCCAGACGGGCGCCTCCTCCGCGGGTACTGGCAGGAAGCCTACGACGGCGCCGACCATCTCACCCTGAACGAGGACCTGCGCTCCTGGACCGCGGCGGACCCGGTAGCTCAGATTGCCAAGCGCGATTTGGAGGCGAGGCGTGACGCCGAGTACTGGAGGGCCTACCTGGAGGGCAGGTGCGTGGAGTCGCTCCGCAGACACCTGGAGTACGGGAAGGACACGCTGCAGCGCGCGGGTACGAGGGGCGCGGGGCACCTCCCACATCTCCTGTAGGTCTCCCGCCTCACCATCCACAAGGAGGGGAGGAAAATGGGCCCAACACTAGAATATCGCCTTACCTCTGGTCAGAGTAGGAAGACGCTCCCATACCAGTGTCCTCTGGGACAGTTAAGGAATGAAATCTCCCAGGAAAACAGAGGGACAGAGTCCCTGAAATATTGATCATTGATTTTCTCTGACCCTGCAGTAGTTTTTCTCTCAGGCCTTGTTCTCTGCCCCACTCATTTGTTTGGAAGTCTGATTCAAGTCCTTCCGGTCACTCAGCCTCCACTCAGGTCAGGACCCTGTTCTCCTCTTTGGAGACAGGAAATTTCAAGGAACAGGAGATCATCCCAGACCCCTGAGTCCAGGCTGGTGTCTGAATTTCGCACTCGCTTCCACACCCCAGTTGTCCTGTCCATTCTCAGGATCTCACATGAGCACTGCTGGAGTGTCCCGTGAGGGATACAAAGTGCCTGAATCTTGTGACTCTTTCCTTCAGATCCGCCAAAGACTCGTGTGACCCACCACCTCACCTCTGACTATGAGGCCACCCTGAGGTGCTGGGCCCTGGGCTTCTACCCTGCGGTGATCACACTGACCTGGCAGCGGGATGGGGAGGACCAGACCCAGGACATGGAGCTTGTAGAGACCAGGCCTTCCGGGGACAACAGAACCTTCCAGAAGTGGGCAGCTGTGGTGGTGCCTTCTGGAGAGGAGCACAGATATACGTGCCATGTGCAGCATGAGGGACTGGGGGAGCCCCTCACCCTAAGATGGGGTAAGAAGGGATGTGGGGATGTCATGTCTCTTGTCAGGGAAAGTAGGAGCCTTTCTGAGTCCTTTAGCATGGTCAGGGCTGAGGGCTGGAATAAGGCCTCTCACCTTCATGTCCTTTTCCAGAGCCATCTTCCCAGCCCAGCACCCCTGTGGTGGGCATCATTGCTGGCCTGGTTCTCCTTGGAACTGTGCTCACTGGAGCTGTGGTTGCCACTGTGATGTGGAGGAAGAAGAGCTCAGGTAGGGAAAGGGTGAGTGGCAGGGTCTGCATTTTCTTGTCCCACTGGGGTTTCAACTCCAGGTAGCAGGGTGCCCCGCCCCATTATGGGAAGTTCCATCCACACACACCTGCTTAGCCAGCTGGGGATCCTGGGTGCCAACACTTACTCTTTTGTATAGCACATGTGACAATGAAGGACAGAGTTTTAATGTAATGATTATGGGAACCTAATCCCCATCAGTCACTGATCAGAGAGAAAGGACCTGGCTCAGGACAGACCTCCAGGAGGAGAGTTGATCCACTCTTTCCTGCCCCTGTGATTCCTGATTCTGCCCTGGGTCTTCAGTCAGAGTTCTGGAAACTTCTCTGAGATCCAACACTAGGTTCCTGTATGACCTCATGGCCCTGTCTCCTCCCTGGCCTCTCACAGGGCATTTTCTTCCCACAGGTGGAAAAGGAAGGAGCTACACTCAGGCTACAAGTAAGTATGGAGGGTGGTGATCTGTGAGGCCTTTAGGATACTGTAGACAGGAGTCCATGGGAACTCCCAGCCACATAATTCCTCCTGTACCCACATCTTCTGTGGGCTCTGACCAGGTCCTTTTTTGTTCAAACCCAGGCAGCGACAGGGCCCAGGGATCAGATGTGTCTCTCACAGCTTATAAAGGTGAGACCCAGAGAGTGTGATATGAGGGTGGGGTGGGACAGAAGGAACACAGCTGGGCTGTGGGGTTTCTTAGATGGGACATTTTGAGTGTGTGATGGGTTGTTCAGATGTCACAATTTGCTGTGACTAACCTGAATTTGTTCCTTTTTTTTTCTATAGCCTGAGACAGTTGCCTTGTGTGGGACTATGTGTTCACGCCTCCCTTTTGTGACTTCAAGAGCCTCTGAGTTCTGCAAATCCTTCTGAATGACTCTGCATCCTTGTTTGCCTGATGTGAGGAGGTGGGGAGGCCAATATACTGCCATGTCCATTGTGACGCCTTCTCCCACACTGACCTGTGTCCCTTCTTGATTATCTTTCCTGTTACAGAGAGATAGGGCTGGGAGGTCTCCATCCCAGTCTCAATGTCATGGTGTACTGAGCTGCTTCCCTGTCTAAAATAAGAATTTGGATGTAAATTTGTTTTCTCAAATTCTTCGCATAAGAGGCAAGAAGGGAAATAAAAGGGAGACCTGAGAACCTTCCACAATGTGTTTGTTTGCTGTGCTAAGTCTTTTGCAGATGGGGACAGGAGAAAGCTGTGAGGAGCCGAGTGTGGATCGGGCCTGTGCCCAGTTGGTGCTCAGTCTATCATGGGCTTTATGTGGTCACTACTTGGCAGAGTCATCCTCGCTGCACCACCTGTGATCCCAGGGGCTTGTCCCAGCAGGACCTGTGATCACAGGGGCTGACACATGGCCCAGGGTGGTTCCTGTACACAGGAGTCTCTGTGATATCAAGAGATAGAATTTTCACACTGTTCAGCTCTTGCCCTCCTCCTAGGGCTCTTTCCTAGATGGCATTCTCCATCTTTTCCCCAACATTTTTGTTATTTTATTTTAAATTTATTTTTAATCTGTATGGATGCAGAATAGTTGTCTACAATTGTGGGGTACATGTGATATTTTGATGCAGGTGTACAATGTGTAATGATCAAATCTGTGTAATTAGGATATCCATCATCTTAAACATTTATCATTTGTTATGTAGGGAACATTCTAAATTAGATTAAATTAAATCTCATTATTTTGAAAGTTACAATAGATCATTGTATTTAAACAAATGTATTATTTGTGACAGGGTCTCACTTTGTTGCATGGGCCACAGTGCAGTGGCATCATCCTCAGTCACTGCAGCATCAAACTCCTGGGCTCAAACATTCCTCCTGTCTCACCCCATGAGTAGCTTAGATTACAAATGCTGACACCAGGTCCACTTAATTTTTTAAAAACTAGTTTGTAGAGATTGGGCCTCACTTTTGCCCTGGCTAGCCTTGAACTCATGGCCTATAGCAATTCTGCCACAGGCATGAGCCACCCCATCCAGCCTAGTAATGATTGTTACTCTATTTTGCTACTGAACACTGGGTCTCATTTCTTGCATCTGTTTTTGTACCCATTAACCAACCCTCTTGGGTTCCCCTCCACACTACCCTTCCCAGCCTCTACTAACCACTATCCTGTTTGCTACCGCCATGAAATCAGTTTTTTTGTTTGTTTGTTTTGGGCCAGGACTAGGTTTGAAACCGCCACCTCCGGTATAGGGGACCAGTACCCTACTCCTTTGAGCCACAGGCGCCACCCATGAAATCAGTTTTTTAGGTCTCTCTTGACACAACACACAACTTTTTTCTTTTTGTGCCGGGTTTATTGCACTTAATATAACGTCCTCTAGTTCTATTAACGTTGCTGCACTCAACCTTTTTAAAGGAACCATATTCTGCAATTAGCAGAGAGGAGGGAGCCCATTTACCTAAGCCCATCTTAGGTAAATTTCCTCTTCTGCTCTGCTCCACTGCCCTCTCCCTACCCTTAGTTCTAGTAACCTTAGTACTGGCTCCATCCCAAACTTGTGGATTATTAAATCAGGCTCTAAGTTAGTTTATACTTGTTTGCAAAATTGGACCCATAGGCAAGGATTGTTCTTTCTGAGGAGAGAAATATCACTGTGTGCTGCAGAGTGCAGGAGGGTCAGTGTGGAAGGGGGGGTAAGGGGGGGCACACACAGCACTGGGGAGAAAAGCTCAGGCAGCATTGATGTCAGTGTGAGAGGTTTGTCTGCCAGATACAAGACTTTTTACATCTAGGAAACATCATTCAAGTTAAAACCAGAAAACTTGAAAGCCTTCGGGAGCATGTGTTCTAGTGGGAAGAGACAGACTATATTCTGTGAGCAGACCAAATACAGAAAGTGTTTATGTTAGAAAATGGTAAATGCTACCAGGAACATGACCCAGAAGGTGTGTGGGGACAGGGATGGTGGTTATTGTGCTGGGTGAACAGCATGGGACTTGTTGCAAAGGTGATCTTTGAGGAAAGATTTGAAGGATATGATGAATTATCAATGAGGATGTCTGGGAAGTTCTTTCCTGCCAGCGGGAACCTTCTTCCACAATGGCACTGAAGCAGGAAGTTTGCTCCTGTTTGGGGAAGAACGGAGGGCTGAACAGAGAGTCCCCAAGATGAGGTCAGAGGTGGGGCTGGAGCATGTAGGAGTGGAGGGTTTGGAAAGGATGTGACCTTTGCCCTGATTGAGATGGGGAGTTAGAGGACAGTTTTGAACAGAATAGGGACATGGTATGACTTCTCTATTAACAGGGTCTCTGGCTACTATGCTGAGAACTAAACTGAGAGGCGGAGACAATGGAGCAGCAGGGAAACAACAGGGAAGGAGGGCAGGATTCCTGACTGCAGATACTGGTGTGAGCAGTGGGAATGGAGGGAAGTGATGGGTTCTGGATACACTTTGAAGATGGACTTTACAGCATCATCTAACGCATCTGGGTGTGAGGAAAAGGAGTCCAGGAGGACACCCACAGCTGTGGGCTGTGTCAGCAGAAGGATGGAGCTGCCATTGGTGGAGATAGGGACAACTCTGGCAGGGTGTTTGAGAAAGGGGCATCCCAGACATTCAGTGGAGGAGGTGTCCACTAGGAGTAGAGGGGAGGGAGTTGGGGAGGCAGCTAGACAGACATGTCTGGAGTTTAGGAGAAATGTCTAAGCTAGAAAATAAATTTGAGGGTGACACCACATAATTAATATTTAAAGCCTTGAGCATGGATAAGGCCACAATAGAGTGATGGGCTGTAGAAGAGAATGTGAACAAGAATGCATCCTGGTACTCCAGGGCTGAGGATGTGATCTGACCACATGTCCAGAGCAGACTGGACAGTTCTGACACCACATCCAGAAGGCACATAGAGCACAGAGTCCCAGAATTTCCTGTGTGTGGGAATCACCTGGACATGGTGCTGAGACACAGTCAGGAGTCAAGCCGGTGACTCTGTGTTCATGATAAGGGTGGTGCTGATGCAGCTGGTCTTCAGATCACACTTTAGTAGCAAGATTGCAGACCAGGATCCCCAGGTGTGTGTGCATCAGCCTAAACTGCAGGGCTTGTTAAATAAGTGAGTCCTTGGTCTCGTGGAATACTCTGAGAGTGGTTCTGGGGAGGGGCCTGAGTATTTTCTGTAATCCTCAGCCAAACTGGGAATCCCTGAAGCCAGTGAGCAGAGAGTGCCCAGGGTGGGTCTTCAAACCCTTTTTAAACATCAGAAAGAAAAGGGCCATGATGTTGGGAGATTTGCATCATTCTCTCTATTGTCAGTTAGGGTCAGGCAGAGAATTCTGGAAGTGACTCTCAGCTCTACACAAAGAACATCTCTGAGGTGGCGACTGTGGCTCAGTTGGGTAGGGTGCCGGCCCCATATACCGAGGGTGGCAGGTTCGAACCCGGCTCTGGCCAAACTGCATCAACAACAAGAAAATATAGCTGGACGTTGTGGCAGGCACCTGTAGTCCCAGCTACTCAGGAGGCTGAGGCAAGAGAATCACCTAAGCTCAGGAGCTGGAGGTTGCTGTGAACTGTGACACTATGGCACTCTACCAAGGGTGATAAAGTAACACTCTGTCTCTTTAAAAAAAAAAAAAAAAAAAGAACATCTCTGAATGCTGTGCTCAGACACTGTTCCCTGAACTGATTTCTCACTCACCTCTTGGAACAAACAATAGAAGTCAAATATTTCTAATGTACATATAAGGCAGTATATACCCGGTCTGACAATTAAGCTCACTTAACTGTGAGTGATATAGGGAACTCAGGAGAAGCTACAATATGGGAGATTAGAGACATCTCCTCATAAGCTGTTCTCAGTAAGTTAGGGAGAGAGAAGTCTCCATCTGGGTTCTCCAGCCCAGAAACAATATTGTGATTGTCCTAGGCACAGTGAGACAGCCTAGGACACCAGGAGCAAAAAAAGATAAGCATGGTGGGAGGCCTGCAAAGAAAGGGTGCAAAGGAGTGGCATGACCCAGGGACAGAGTCTACAGGTGGAATCCTTGAGGGATTAAGTCTGCAGGAGATTCCCCTCCATGCCCCCAAGCACCCTGTTTGAGTGGACAAGGGACCTGACCGCACTCCAGAAGGGCCTATCCCTCCAGGCATGGGTTGTCATGAGAAACAAAGAGGAACTGAGGGCTCACAGGACTCTCAAGGGCATAGAAGCCAGTCTTTGGCAGTGGGCTGGACAGAGTGCATGCTCCTTCTGTGGGACAGGGCTGAAGCCTGAGTTCCACTGGGTAGGTTTAGACTGTAGCTTACTCAACAGGAAACTCTGGCTGCCAGGCATCCTGCCACCCCCAGAGAGCCCCAGGAGGGGAGCAAACTGAAACCTTGATACAGCTCACACCCAAGGCGGCCCAGTTGGAGCAGCTTTCTAAGATCCCAGTGTGGACCGGCTTTGACTCTGTCCTCTAGACTAGGACAACCAACTCTAGGCTGACTCCCACAGAGATGCCCATCAAATTGTGGTGATCCGGCCTCCCACACAGAATAGCTGGGGGTGTCCCCCAGAAAGTCTGGGGTAAGCTTCAGGACATTAGCTCTCCTGCCCCTCCAGGGATTTAGCTCTTCTATAGCTACCACACTCAGATTAAAATTTAAAAAATCAGGAATATAAGACCAGGTCTCCATGGCAAGTAGGTAGTAACTTCCAGCACCTACCACATCCCAAAACAGATCTGGGGTTTATTGAGGTTCTTTTTTTAATCCAGGAATGCCACCTAGTGTTAATTTTTTTTTCATTCCTAATTATGGAGCACTCACTGGTTCTTATACAATATATTTTTAATGCTAACAGTTTTGTTCTCTGTCCCTTTCTCTTTTGTTATTTTTCTTATCTTTCCCTCATAACTCCCCTAGACAAGCTAGACCACCAATCATTTTTAACAGAGTC